ATACAAGATTCTTAGGGGACTTGACAGGGGGGATGGAGAAAGATTGTTTCTCCTTTTGGGACAGTCTAGGACCAGAGGACATCACCTCAGAAGAAGGGCTCGCACAGTTGAGTCAGGGGTGAGGAGGAATTTCTTCTCTGAGGGTTTTGAATCTGTGTGGAATTCTTTACTGCAGAGAGCTGTTGAGGCTGGGTCATTCAGTATATTTAAGATTGAGAGAAACATTTTTAATCAGGGAGGGAATCAAGGGTTAAGGGGAAAATGGAGTTCAGGATTATTAGATGTTAAACTTGAAAGGGTTCAGAAAACATTTACAAGGATATTGCCAGGGTTGGAGGGTTTGAGCTAGGGAAAGACTGAATAAGCTTGGGATATTTTCTTTGGAGCTTCGGAGGCTGAGGGGTGACTTTATAGAGGTTTATACAATCATGAGAGGCATGGATAGGGTGAATAGTCAAGGACTTTTTTTCCCAGGGTAAGGGAGTCTAAAATTAGTGGGCATAGGTTTAAGGTGAGAGGGGAAAGATTTAAAAGGGACCTCAGGGGCAACTTTGTCCCAAAGGGGCTGGTGCGTGTATGGAATGAGCTGCCAGAGGAAAGAGTGGAGGCTGGTACAATTACAACATTTAAAAGGCATCTAGATAGGAACAAGAATAAGAAGGGTTTAGAGGGCTTTGGACCAAATGCTGACAAACGGGACTAAATTAATTTAGGATATCTGGTCAGCATGGACGGGTTGGACCGAAGGGTCTGTTTCCGTGATGCACATCTATAACTCTATCCGTCACGATCTTATTGAATGGTAGAGCAGACTTGATGGGCTGAATGGCCTACTTCACCTCCTAAGTTTTATGGTCCTATTTGATCATAAATTTGTGTTATCGTTTCTAATTCTATTTTGCCAAGGACTGTTTCAATATTCTGGTGTTACTTTCTCTTCATTTGAATACCCATGTCTCAGTTTTGACATTTTAAATTTGACCATCTATCCTCAACAGGAGAGAGTTCCAAATTACCCAGTGATTCCAGGGTTTTGTCATAACCGCTGCTGTTGCCTAACTCCTTGTGGTGGTCTCCTAAAAGGTGAAAGGTTATGAAAAGGTCACTGAAATCACTTGTTTTTTTCTAAGATTACTTTTTCTTCCTTGCAGTCATTAGAACAGAAAGTGGAGACAAAGCCAAAGGAAGAGGAAGATGAAGAGGAACTATTTATCAAAGAATTGCAATTTAAAGCCTGGATCGATTTGGGCAGCAGTGTTGAAATTGAGCAAGAAAGGGTTGAAGAATCACCAACTAAGGTTAAATATATCCTTCTTTTATTGGGCATCTTATATGGGCCACATGATGGTTAGTGTAAATTTCAAAGTGACTGTACAGTACCTTTCCTCAACTTGTCCAATTTCCTCCCTCACTCCATGAATTTCCACAAGATTGCACTGGGAAATGGGATTCTTTTGTGTAAAATTAAGTTATCATCCATGGCTTACCAGACTACACTCTTACCTCTGAGTCAGAAAACTGCGGTTGACATAGTGCTCTGCAGGGAACCTGGGATTACTGGGTGGTATAGCCTATTAACTGATTCTTGTCTACTTGCTTGATTGGTTAAACTTATGGGTGAAGCTAGGGAATTAAGAAACTGAAAACCTTCCAGAAAAGATCTAGAATCTGAGCTGTTAATATTATGTGTATTAAACCTTCTGTAAGTTTTGAGATGTTTAAAAACATCTGATAGGAAACTACTTGGATTCAGTCCCGGGGCCAACACTGCATTGCTGTGAGGTTCATCATAATCCTTGCATTTTGCTCCAAGCCTGACTTGGAAATATGTCACCGTTCCTTCACTGTCATTGAGTCAAAATCTTGAGATTTCCTTCCTGATAGCCTATGAGTGTCTCCCCACCATGTGGACTAATAAACCATAAGAAATAGAAACTGGAGCAGGCCATTCAACCCCTCAAGCCATTTCTGCCATTCAATAGGATCATGGCTGATCCAACATTTCTCATGTCCGCTTACCTGCCTTTCTCTTATAACGCTTAATTCCCTAACTGATCAAGAATGTATCTATCTCAGCCTTAAGACTGTAGTCATTCAGGAAAGCAGCTCATCACTACCTTCTCAAGGATGGGTGGCATGGTAGCTCAGTGGTTAGCACTGCTGCCTCACAGCGTGCAGGGTCCTGAGTTTGATTCCACCCTCGGGCAACTGTCTGCGTGTGACGTTTGCACATTCTCCCCGTGTCTGTGTGGGTTTCCTCTGGGTGCTCTGGTTTCGTCCCACAGTCCAATAATGTGCAGGCTAGGTGGATTGGTCATGGGGAAATGCCGGGTTACAGGGATAAAGTAGGCGGGTGGTTCTGGATGGAATGGTTTTCAGAGGGTTGGTGTGGACTGAAAGGGCCGAGTGGCCTACTTCCAAACTGTAGGGATTGTATGACAATTAGGGATGCCATGCTCTGTCCCTGGAATGAATATAAAAATAACCTATTGTCTTCTTCAATATTAGACGTACTCCTAGACAGGTAGAAAATGATATGGCACGTGTTTATAATTACAATTATGTTCAATGCAGGTGAAATTTATGATTTCACGTGTCCGAAGAGAATTTGGGGCTCCTGTTTCCTTTGATGATCGCAATGATGCTGAAATAAAGGATAGCTATGTGGAGTGCACATCCTACCAAGACAAGAATTTCAGCATCAAGAAGCTGGAGAGGGATATCGGGATACAGGCTGTATGCATTTTAGAGGAAAACAGCACACAAACAGAATGGTGAGTTAACTACACCGACTAACCGACTAAGTGAGCTTCTAACCAGAACAAACTAACCAATGGTGTGAAGAGTAGTTAGAATGGGGTTAGCCAATGCAAACGGTTTATTTGTGCTTTATCACTGAAGCTCCTGTCGGTAGAAACAGCGACGCAGAAGAGTTAGATGCTTGTTTTTGACAGGCACACACACGATAGGCTGAATGGCCTTTTTTGTGCTGGAGACCTCAATGCTCTATGACAGGCGACACTGGGTATGGTAGCGTAATGGTAATGTTAGTAGACTAGAAATCTAGAGGCAAAGAGTTCAAATGCTTGTATTGAAGCTGGGCAATTCTGTTAACTAAATAAATCTGGAATGAAAGAAAAGCCAGTATCTGTGGACCATGAGATAACTGGATTATTGTAACAACCCATCTGGTTCATTAATCCCCTTTACACTATTGTGGAATGCTATGTGACTCCAGATCCACAATGTGTTTATCTCAATGTGGTCGATTCTTAACCACATTGTCCGTATCTTGCTTGTTGCAAGATCAGATTGGTCCAGAAAGCCTCTCTGTTGTTAAAAAGGTAATTCACCAGCACCTAGTCATAGAATATCTACGGTGTGGTAGCAGGCCATTCAGCCCATCGAGTCCACACTAACCTCCAAAAAGCATCCCACCTAGACCCACCTCAATACCCTTGTAATGCTGCATTTCCCATGGCTAATCTACCTAGCCTGCTCATCCCTGGACACAATGGGTAAGTTTAACATGGCCAATCCACCTAACCTGCACATCTGTGGGAGGAAACTGGAGCACCCGGAGGAAACCCACGCAGACACGGGGAGAATGAGGGCAGTTAGGGATGGGCAATTATTGATGGTTCATCAGCAAAGGCCACATGGAATAAATAAACTAAAATCCAGCAATTAAAGGTATTTGGCTCAAGAATCAGAGAGTGACATGTGAAGAATTTAATGAATTCTTACAGTTTAGAACAAACTATCTGAGAGGAGCAGATACAATGATAGTTTTCAAAAGGAAATTAGAGAAATGCTTGAAAAGGAAACATTTTCAGAACCTTGAGAAGAGGATGGTGGAGGGACAGTAACTGGACAACTCTTTCAAAGCCAGATACAGTGGGACACATTACCTCGGTATTGTTAACAAAAAATACATTTTGTCAAAACTTTTTGACTTGCACTCATCTGGACAATTTGCAAGAATACCGCATCAAAGGTAGAGCCAACATTTATACTGCATGGGAAGAGAATGCTGTTTAATTAGCGACTCTGATTGGTAGAGGTTGAAATAACTCCACAGAGACTGGTATCCCGTCACCAAGTCACCCTTTATTTACTCTTAGGTTCCTTGACACTGATGTAGCTCCCTCAGAGTCAACTCTGAGTGTCAGGATGTCAGACGCTCCTGTTTATATCTGTCAGCCAGGGCTCCCTGATTGGACCAGGTTAACAGGCCCAATCGGGGAACTTATTCTGTGAGGTCCACCTGGCTGACCTCATTACAATCACTACTGAGGTGCTACCATGGCTAATACACCTATTAATGCAGATTGACAGTTAACTGCTGGCCATTGTTGACATTTTAAATCAACCAGGGTGACTCTAACTGGTTGGGTCACCCAGAGAAATGAATCAGCGAACGGCTGGCATCTATTTTGTTGAGTTCAAATGAGTGCAGAGAAAGCATGTATTCTTTCTGTCTGCAAAGACCTCTCAAATTTTGAACATAATGTTGACCTCACTATCTGTACACCTTCTATGCAATTGCACATTTTATTCCTAACTCTGTTCTATTACCTTATGCATTTTGTATGGCTCTGTCTGTACTGCATGCAAAACAAAACTTTTCACTGTACCTAGGTACATGTGACAATAATAAATCAAATTAAATCAAGGAATCGGGCCCTGAATATTAATATTATGTAACTTCCAGTACTTGTAAGTATGCCACCCAACATTCCCAATTGGCAATCCCAATTGGGTATCAGCATAATTCTTCACACACTTGGGTTTAGTCGGCAAATGTTGTCCAATTGCAGAATCACAACCAATGTTTGACACTGTGCTGTGAGCTTTGTAAATACAGGATGGTTGGGTATTATAAGTATATTTCTTGTCATGAGCAGCTGTTTGATTTGATCCAAATACAGCTGACATACCCGACATCACACCAGCACTGAAATTCATTTCCCACATAACCTATTCGTCAGATAAGCAGAATGCTCTTTGTAGTTTCAACGTACCATTCTGTCAGTGGTGTGCACCACTCTTGTGGCCACTGCATAATTGCAGCTCGAAACAGCTAACTTTACCTGTTCCTCAAGTGGTCAGATACCTTACCCTTTCACGGTAACCTGAAGCACACTGGGCACTTTTCATGATAAATAATGATTTTTCACAGTATACATCAGAAATAATCTGATCAGGGTGGCCACTTTCCAAGAGGGTGGCTTTCATACATCATACTTCAGCAACAAGACTGCAGAGTGAATGAATAGCTTGGGCCACATTTTTGAGGCTGGCTTTGAAATGGCAACATTCTGCACTGCCTGATTCTAAAATCCGACCAGAATAATCACATGAAGTTCAACAAATCATCCTGCTTGGAGTTCTATCGTGTTTACGCTGTGTTTTAACTGTTACTATTTCAGGACATATCCTCGAAACGCTTGCACCCAGTATACGCCCAGTGAGTTCACACAGGAGGAAAAAGATGAAATGTTAAAATCTGAAGCTCTTACTACATTTATCAACTCGGTTGCTTTGAGGTACAGTTGTTTATTAAGTTGCCAAATCCAGTTGGATGCGTTACCAGACTCAAAACACATGACCAACTAACTGCAGGATCACATGCAGTTACATGCATAAACATTCAGGTAAAGTACCATAGTTTTACCACAGCATGGGGCTGCTCTCTCATTAGAGAGAGGGAGAGATGACTGCTGGTGGTTTAACCTGAGGATCATCATGCCTCAGGTGAGTGGAGAGGTTGAGAAGGAGAGTCCTTCACGGAATATTAATGAAATGACCACTTGTGTTTGACCCACAACCACTTCTACCTAAAAGGACAAGGACAGCAGATGCATGGGAACACCATCCCCCTGCAAGTTCCCCTCCCAGCCACTCACCATCCTGACTTGGAAATATATCACCGTTCCTTCACTGTCGCTGGGTCAAAATCCTCTCTCCCTAATTCTCTCCCTAAGGGCATTGTGGGTCTACTTACAGCAGGTGGAATGCAGTGGTTCAAGAGGGCAGCTCACCATTACCTTCTCAAGGGCAACTAGGGATGGGCAAGAAATGCTGGACCAGCCAGCGATGCCCATGGGCCATGAGTGAATTCTTTAAAAGATTAATGTTCATGGAAAAAAGAGAGTACACAAAATTCCCAAAAGATGTTTAATCCCAGGGTATTGCTCATGGCAACCCCCAAGAGTTTAATATTTATTCAGAAACACTGTGGAAGTTGAGAATCCACGTTTATAACATACATTATGTACTGGTTTTAGAAAGGATGCAAGAGCAAGAATACACGACGAAGTCTAACTCGAAGGGTTCACAATTGAGATTAAATAAATTAGTCATGCAATCCCGTAGGCTCCTCCAATTTCTATTGACATCTTGGCTCCTCACTGACTATATTTGAAAACACATCAGTTGAGCATATGAGCTGATGATACCCAGCTCAACATCAAATATAACTCTCACTGTCTTTAAACTATCAACTGTTTATCCAACATCCAGTACTGTGCTGGCAGTAATTTCCTTTGTCTAATTATTGGGAATAACAAAGCCAATGTCTTCAATAATATAAAACAAAGAACTGTGATGTTGGAGATCTGAAACAAAAATAGAAATTGCTGGAGAATCTCATTAGGTCTGGCAGCATCTGTGGAGAGAAAGTGTAGTTAATCTTCTGGGTCCAGTCACTCTTCTTCTGAACTGAGGTGATGAAGGGTCTGATGAAGACATCTGAAATGGTTACTGTGCTTTCTCCCCATAGTTGCTGCCAACTCTGTTGAGTTCCTCTAGCAATTTCTATTTTGGTTTCAGATCTCCAGCATCTGCAGTTCTTTTATTTTTATTTTAGTGAGAGCTTCTATAGGCTACAGACCATCACACCTCCTCAGTTATCTCCTCAGAAGGGAAAAATATTGTAGGAGGGAGGTGGGGGAAGAGAGGATCATGGAAAGGTTAAAGTGCACAGAATAAGATCTGTCTCAAAATAATAGATCGCGGGTTCTGTTGGTAATGATTCTGATTAACAAATGGAAAAGGTTAAAGTGAAGACTGCATGGAGAGAAATTTATAAGAATTCTTATTTGACTTAAACCGGCCTTGAGTATTTCCAATCCGTTTGACATCTCGCACTATCCTGGCAGGCAGGAGGTTAAATTTAGAAATCACTATGTTTAATTGCAAACTGACTGTGTGGGGCAGCGTCCAGGGGCCAGCTGCTATTTGTTTTCATACCTTTGCATTAACAACTTACTCTGCTCTACAAGTTAGACACAGGATTATCAGAACAGGAGAAGGCCATTTAGTCCCTCAGAAATGTCCTGTCATTCAACATGATCTTGGCTGATCTGCAACCAAACTCCATACTCCCACTTTACCCTGTGTCTGTCAATACCTTTGGCAAACAAAAAGCTATCACACTTAGGTTTAAAATTGACAGTTGCTCCAGTGACATTTTTAGCAGAGAGTATCCAACATTCTACTGCTCATTGTGCGAACAAGTTACACATAAAGAACCCACTTTAATATTTGGCCTGCTGTGTTCATCCAGCCCTGCACCTTGTTGTCTCGGATTCACCAGCATCTGCAGTTCCTACTATCTCTGATCCACTTTAATATTAGTCAACTCCTCAAATTCCAGGAACTGCCCATCCCCATCTCCCACCATAGCTGGAAAAAGTTTCTCGCAATCTACCCAGTCCTTTCCCCTCAATGATTTGAAAATTCTCTTGTCATTGTCAGCAGTCAGTTGGTTCACTCCTTGGAGTCCTAGAGATTTACAACACAGAAAAAGGCCTTTCAGTCCATTGAGTCTGTGCTGGTCAAAAATAACCACCAAACTATTCTAATTCCATTTTCCAGCACTTGGCCCATTTTCTTCAAAGCTTTGTACATGTAAATACCACTGCAACGTGATGAGGGTTTCTGCCTCTCCCACCCTTACAGGCAGTGGGTTCCAGATTCCCACCAGCCTCTGGGTGAAAAAGTCTTTCCCCTCAGCCCCTCTATAGGAGATCTCCTTGATCTCTTTAAACCCCCTGAACCCCCCGCCAAAGCAATGCAAGCCAAATCTATCTGACCTGTACCTATAACTTAAAACTATATTATCCTGATTGCATTCTAGAGTAATAGAGTCATACAGCAGGCCCTTCAGTCCAACCAGTGCAAACTGACTACGTTCCCAAAATAAACTAGTCCCACCTGCCTGTGTATGGCCCATATCCTCCAAAATTTCCTATTCATTTAATTATCCACATAGGAACCACTCTGTGTAAAAACATTGCCCCTCATATTCTTTTTAAATCTTTCTCCTCTCACTTTAAATGTATGGCCCCAAGTTTTGAAGCCGCCCCACCCCAGCCAAGGGTAAAGACCCTTGTCCTTCAACTTAACTATGCTCTTCATGATTTTATAAACCTCAATAAGGTCAATAGTCAACAATAAGGTCTATGAATCTGTACAATAATCTTTCTAAACCTCATTTAGCCTGCCTGAGGTACATTGCCAAGGAATTGATGCAGTCCACACAAAGGTTACAAGCACCATTTATGTTATGCTTTCATTCTAGGTTTGAGTCAGCCTTACAGCAAAATGAGATCATGGACGTCTTTTACGATGATTGGAGAGGGCTTTCGGATGAAGATAGTACGTTTGGAGGGAAATCAGACTGCCATCTAAAGGAATACCAGTCCTTCACAGATCTCCAGAGGAGCCAGGGGAGGAAGATAAGCCACATTGAATGGCACCCAACCATTCTGGGTAAGGTGGATTTCACCAAGAGTGAAGGTCAGCTCTCGTAAGCATCAGCCATGTTCGTAGGATCTAGGAGCAGGCTGTTCGGCATCTTGAGCCTACTCCACCATTCAATAACATCATGGCTGATCTGACCGTAGCCTTTCACCCTCTTGTTTACTCAGAATCAATCTATCTTGAAAATATTTAAGGACCCTGTTTCCACATCCTTATGAGGAAGGGACTCACAGCCCTCTAAGATTAAAATGAAATCAGTTTTAAAAGGGTGACCTCTTAATTTTAAATAGTGACTGCTAGTTCTAGGTTCTCCCATAACCATCCTCTCTCTCTACACCCTGTCCAGACCCTTCAGAATCCTTTAGGTTTCAATCAAGTCAACTCTTACTCTTCTCACCTCCAGCAGGTACAGGCCTAGCCTGTCCAAACTTTTCTTGTAAGACAACCCACCCTTTCTAGGGATGACTAGTTCCTGATTTATGAACCAAAGATGCTGCCAGACCTGCTGAGCTTTTCCAGCAACTTCTGTTTTTGTTCCTGATTTATGAACACCTGAATTACAAGTGCTCATACTTATAAGTAACGTCCCATATTATTATTAATCTTAAAGATCCAGCATGCAAACGTTTGGTCATAATACACGTGGCTCTTGCATATTGTCCTGTATTGTATTCCATTGAAATCAACTGTTTAAAGATTCATTCACAAGAATGGACATCACTTATGAATGAATTCAAGAATGGAATCTATTTGTAACTGGCGGCTGCCCATATTAGTGTCATAAACCTTCTCTGAACTGCTTCCAAGGCACTTATATCGTTCCTTAAATAGGCTGACTAATCCTGTGTACAATACTCCAGATGTGGTCTCATCGATGTTTGGTATACTTGAAGTTCAGTGGGGAAGCACACGGATCTCTGATTTAGAAATATCCCTCCAGAGACTTAAATGTAAAACTTGAAGCTCCGATCCAGCACTCAGGAAGATCTAAGCTGTGGAAGGTACTGTTGACCAGATGAGGCATGAAGCTGAGTTCCTTTCTGCCCTCTGCCTATAACAGTTCCCATGGCATTATTCAAAGAATCACAGAAAATTTCTCCCCAGGCAAATGCTTATCCCTCATCCAATGTCAAGAAAACAAATTACTTGGTCATTAAATAAACATTGTCGGAATAAGTGCAATGACAATCATAGCTCATTGTTCCACAAGCTCCCGGAAAATGTATAAAATCTCAATTAAACCACCAAAATGACCAGATTGTCTGACTGACTGCTCTTCAACACAAAGCAATTCACGCTAGGTTTCGTAACTAGCAGATAATAACTCTACTGGCAGTGAAAGAAAGGAATTCTAATCTACTGCTTGTGACTTAACTATATCTCTTAATAAACAAAACCCAAAAACACACATACATTCATGCTTAAGACAAGGAAAAGACAGATGATTTGACACAGATATTATGGGTCAAGAAAAGCAATACATACAGGGATTGATTACAAATCTGAAGATCAAAAATCCAGAACACAAGGGTAGATTAAAATTATTTCTCACAGTACCTTTTGATTTTAGCAGTGATGACATGGGATCTGTCTATAAAGCGATGGTTGTCCTTCACATCAACGTGTGTCATGCTGGAACAGCTGCTGAAGGGTGGCAAGCCGGTGCAGGAGATGGTGAGGAAAGTTAGTGGTATGTTGGCCTTCATAGCGAGAGGATTTGAGTATCGGAGTAGGGTTGTCTTGCTGCAGTTATACAGGGCCTTGGTGAGGCCACACCTTGAGTATTGTGTGCAGTTTTGGTCTCCTCGTCTGAGGAAGGGCATTGATGCTATAGAGGGATTCCAGCGAAGGTTCACCAGACTGTTTCCCAGGCTGGCAGGACTGACATATGTCTGGATCGACTGGGCTTGTACTCACTGGAATTTGGAAGAATGAGGGAGCATCTCATAGAAACATATAAAATCCTGATGGGACTGGACAAGCTAGATGCAGGAAGAATGTTCCGGAAGTTGGGGAAATCCAGAACAGTCACAGTCTAAGCATAAGGAGGAAGCCATTCAGGACTGAGATGAGGAAGAATTTCTTCGCTCAGAGAGTTGTGTACCTGTGGAATTCTCTCCCACAGGAAGCGGTTGGGGCCAGTTCATTAGACACATTAAAGAGGGAGCTGGATATGGCACTTCTACCTAAAGGGATCAGGGGGCTTGCGGAGAAAGTGGGAATGGGATACTGAGATTGCGTGATCAGCCATGATCATATTGAATGGTGTTGCAGGCTGGAAGGGCCAAATGGCCTATCCCTGCACCTATGTTTCTATGTCTTTATGTTTCTTTGATCTGCTGGACTTAGGTCTGGTTAGAATTCTTTCTTCTGGCTTTCTTGTGTTTTTAATTTTTTTCCCCCGAGTGGAGAGAGAGAGAGAGAGAGAGAGAGAGAGAGACGACAGAGACATTTTCAGTTCACAGGCTCTGGATGCCTCTGGCTATTACACACCTGCATGTTTGTAGCAAAATGCATCTCAACCAATCCAAGCACTCTCATCAGACACTCTTTCCTTAACTTAAAGCTTTTTTGGTGCTTCACTGTCTCAAAGTAATAAAATTGCTACTTTGAAAAGCATCATTGTCTTGCACAGTTCTAACCATGTACCACTTGATTTTTACACGTTGTAAAACTCTCCTGAAAGATGCAGTGTCTGACTTCCAGTTTAGAATCCAAAATGTGGCCCTTCACTAGAGAAACTCAGTAGGTCTGACAGCATCTGTGGAGAGAGTTGCAGAGTTAAAATAGCAAGTCCAATTTAATTCTTCTTTCGAACATATCTGAAGAAGACTGAGATTGGAATGGATACTGTTGTCTTTATTTCAGATCTCCAACAGTCACAGGTATTTGCTTTTATCACCTAGTCATTACCTCATTGCAGTTTATTTGAGGTTTTTGTGCACAAATTGGCTGCAGTACTCCTTCATTACAACAATGATGATGCTTCCAAAGTACCTCACTGGGTGTAAGTCACTCAGAGATAGCAAGAACTACAAATGCTGGAGTCAGAGACAACACAGTGTGGAGCTGGAGGAGCACAATAGGCCAGGCAGCATCTGAGGAGCAATTTTTCTGAATAAGGGTCCCGATCCGAAATGTCAACTTTCCTGCTCCTCTGATGCTGCCTGGCCTGCTGTGTTCCTCCAGCTCCACACTGTGTTGTCCCTGGGTGTAACATACTTTGTAACATGCTGGAATTTTAAAAGGCATTGACTAAGATACATAACAGGAGAAATGAAACCTATTTTAATTGATTCTACACAATCTCCCGAAGGCAAAATCACCCCCAGCCTCTCTCTCAACATAGCCCTAGTATGTATCAGATAAAATAAATAATGTTGGAGCTAAATCAGTTCTCATAGTGAGACAAGGAGCATATGGTTAAACACCAGAGACACACAAAACCTACCATTTCCATCCAGTCTGAATAAATGGATAACTAATTGCAGGCTGTCCTGAACCCTCTGTGTATCCAGTCATAACCAAAATAGTAATAAAATAATTGGACTAAAAGAATAAACAGACTCTTTATAGATTGAGTGGGCCACGTCATATTCTTTGGTATGTCAAAGAATGTGATTTGATATCCAATTGCAACATATAAAATTCTGAAAGGGGATTATGGTAGGTGTGATAACTCCTACAAGACCCATGGGGAATCATTAATTAATCTCTCTGTGGAGCTTATTGAGTATGAGTTCCCTGCCGGAACTCATCACCTGAGTTTTTTATAAAGCAGATCCAGGGATGGATCTGTAGAACTGCCTGTCCCAGGCTGGGACTGGCCTATGTAGACCATGAGCAGTGGCTGTATTTTGATGTTCAACAATAAATTATGTTCCTTTCCAATCGAGTCTCCTGAGTTATTCCAGCTGGGTAGATTCTGAGAAGCCGTTTCTCCTGGAGAGGCAACATAGGACAAGGAGTCACTGTCTCGAAATAAGGGGTGGGCCATTTTGGGACTAAGATGAGGGGAAACTTTTTTCATCCAGAATATTGTGAATCTTTGAATTTTTGTACCCCGGTCAGGTGCGGATGCTCAGTTATTGAGTAATTTCAAGTTAGAAATTGAAAGAATTCTGGACAGTGAGGGATATAGGGGAACAGGTGGGATAGTGAAGTTAAAGTAACAAATCATCCATGATCCTATTGTATGGGGTAGCAGGCTTGAAGGGCCAAATGGCTTGTTCTACCTTTGATTTCTTTTGGTCTTCATTCTGAAAAGAGTAATGTTTTGTATGAATGTTGGTGATAGTTTTATCCATTTATAAATGTATAAATCCATAATTTATCCAAATTCTCCATAATTTTATTCATTACACAGATTAACTGTACCAATTCTTGTGTTTATAAACAGGGCTAGTGGCTGTGTCAGTCGTTGACCGCATTACTATGGAGGACAGGATTAACTTAAACAACAGATTAGTCCGCAGTCACTCATATATCCTGTTCTGGAATTTCACCGATCCTATCCACCCACAGGTATCCAAAGGATTTTTGCACATTGCTAGAGAAGTGATCAAAGACAAAAATACTAATAAAGCTGTTTGTGTCATTATAACACAGTTTACAGTCTCAGACTTTGGTAAGTGGGTAAAATGCTACAGCTAAGGATGTGAATAGGTTCTGGAAGAGAAATTACTGTACATAAAAAAAATTGTGCATTAGCTTTGTACATAATACAACCCCTACCACCTATAAGTATACTCAAGGCTGAGATAGACAGATTTTTAATCAATAAGGGAATCATGACTTATGGGGAAAAGGCGGGAAGGTAGAGATGAAGAATATCGGATCAGCCATGATCTCATTAAATGGCAGAGCAGACTCAGAGCCATAAAGGACGGAAACAGACCCTTCAGTCGAACTCGTCCATGCCAAGTTTCCCAAACCAAACTAGTCCCATTTGCCTGTGTTCAGCTCATACGCCTCTAAACTTTTCCTATTCATGTACTTGTCCAAATGTCTTTAAATGTTGTAATGGTACCTACATCTACCACCTCCTCTGGTAGTTCATTCCACCTACACACTACCCACTTTGTGAAAAAGTTGCCCCTCAGGTACCTTTTAAATTTTTCTCCCCTCACCTTAAATTTATGCTCTCTACTTTTGAACTCCCCAACCCTAGGAAAAAGACTTTTGCAATTCACCCTAACCATATCCCTCATGCTTCTATCACACCCCCCAACCCCCTATGCTCCAGTGAGTAAAGTCCCAGCCTATCCTTATCTCCAGTCTCAGTAACATCCTGGTAAATCTTTTCTGCAGTCTCTCCATTACAAGAATATCCTTCCTATAGCAAGTCGACCAGAACTGTACACAGTACTCCAAAAGTGGCCTCATCAATGTCCTGTTCAACTGCAACATGAAGTCCCAACTTCTATACTCTATTTTGTCTGAGCAGTGAAGGCAAGCATGTTAAACACTTTCTTAATCATCCTGTCTACCAGTGATGCAACTTTCGATGAACCCATAGGTCTCTCTGTTCTACAACACTACCCACGGCCCTACCATTAACTGTAAGTCTTATCCTTATTTGTCTTACCAAAATGCAACACTTTTATACTCAATGGGTTGAATGGCCTATTTTTGCTTCTATACCTTATAGTCTTAACTGAGAATTCATAACTAACAGGAAAAACTGAATAGTCTGGGGCTCTTCCACCTGTTTAAGGTTGATTTGATAGAGGTTTCTTGAACTATGGAAGGTAACTATTAGATATGGAGGAAATGGTTTGAATTTTTTACTCTCTGAGTGGGGAGAATTTCAAAACCTTAATATGACTAAGGGGGATTGAAAGGAATGTTGTTGTATTAGAAAGCTGGATAAACACACAAGAGAGAAAGGAATGGAAGGATATAGTGATGGGGTGAGATGAGGAGGGGTGTGAGGGAGTTCAATAAAATGTGGAGCTGGAAAAGCACAGTCAGTCAAACAGCAGCTGAGCAGCAGGAAAGTTAGCGTGTCGGACCAAAACCCTTCATCAGGACTGTGGAGCACAAATACCAGCACCAACTGATTGGAACAAATCATAGAATTATAGAATCCCTATAGTGTGGAAGCAACCATCTGGTCTGCACCGACCTCCAAAAAGCATTCCACCCCTCTACCTTATCCCTGTAACCCTGCATTTCCCACGGCTAACCCAACCAGCTTGCACATTCCCGGACGCTATGGGCAATTTAGCATGACCAATCCACCTAAACTGCACATCTTTGGATTGCAAGAGGAAACCCATCATCATAACCCTAACCACGCAGACACGGGGAAAACGTGTAAACTCCACACAGACAGTCACCTGAGGGTGGAATCAAACCTGGGTCCCTAGTGCTGTGAGGCAGCAGTGGTAACCACTGAGCTACTATGGCACCCTATTGGCTTAGACTTTCCATATACATGCACAAATGTCTTTTGCATTACAGATTGTTTTTTTTGTTGTACCCATTTCATCTTGGTTTTGAATCCACAGAATCACAGGATGGTTACAGCACAGAAAGAGGCCACTCAGCCCATTCTTATCTAAATAATCATCCAATGCCCTTTTTGAATACTTCAGTTGAACCTGCCTCCACTACGTTTTCAGGCAGTGCATTCCATCCCCCTAACAACTCAGTGTGTGAAGAAGGTTTTCTTTAATTTACACTTGCATCATTTGCACATCACTTTCAATCTATGACCTCTCGCTCTAATTCCTTTTATAAGTGCAAACAGTTTCTCCCTATCAATCCAGTCCACTCATGATTTTGAAAAGCTCTATCAGATCTCTTGGATAGGAAAGATTTAGAGGGATATGGGCCAAACACAGGCAAATGGGACTAGTTCAGATTAGGAAACCTGGTTGGCATGGACAAGTTGGACTGAAGGGCCCGTTTCCATGCTGTAGGACTCTATGATAGGTTTCAAACAATAACAAGCAAAGGCAGAAATGGAGCTCAATCTCCAATCGGCCATGATCTCATTGACTGTTGCAACAGGCTTGAGGGGCTGAATAGCCTCATTGTGGGTGTGGGCATTATGGCTAAACCATAAGGTATAGGAGCAGAATTAAGCCATTCAACCCATCAAGTCTGCTCCACCACCTGATCATGGTGGATATGATTCTCAATCCAGCATTTATTGCTTATCCTTAATTGCCCAGAGGGCAGTTAGGAGTCAATCATACTGCTGTGGGTCACATAGGCCAGACCAAGTAAGGATGGCAGATTTCCTTTCCTGAGGGACATTAGTGAACTGGCTATGTTTTCCCCTCTAGCAATCAGCAACAGTTTCATTCCTAATTCCAGATTTTTAATTGGATCATGATCTGCAGTGGCAGGATTTGAACCAGGTCCCCAGAACATTACCTGGGTCTCTGGATTAATAGTCTAGCGATAATACCACTAGGCCATTGCTTCTTCCTATGTTGCACTCAATATCAGTCTTTCATCCTTTCTCCCTGATGTTGTTATGAAGCTCCCCGCTGTGTTAGCAAGTTCTCCGTTCACTGCACTCCCTTATACTGACTGAAACTATCACACTGGGTTAAAATGTATTGTGGGATCGTAATAGTTTGTGAATTCACTTGAACGACCATTCTGACTGAGTGTCTGACCACGTATGAGGTGAACAGACTGATTTTGGGATAGTCATAAACGTTTGCCTTTCCTGTGTTTGATTTTCATTTAGATCATGTTGGAGGCACCGGATGATATTTACAGCTTTCAGTTTTGTCCAACGGACCCAAATATTGTGGCAGGAGGCTGTAAGAATGGCCAGGTAATGTGTAAATTGTAAAGTGTCAAGTTTTAACATCTGAGAACAGTCGAAATGTAAAATCACTCTATAATTTAATACAAAGTCTCTCGGAATGCAGTATAACGGAAGAAGCCATGATTGGTCCACGTACCTGATTTCCTTTCACCCACACTGAGTTGCCCTGTCTTCAGCGATCTCTCAACTTTGCAATTCCTTCTTGAAACCTCCTCCCCCACCTCCTAAGATTGTAGTGATTGGAATGAGGGCCAGGTGGATCTCATTGGCAATGAGATCCCTGATTGGGGTTGTTAACCTGGGCCAATCAGGCAGCCCTGGCTGACAGGTATAAACAGGAGACTCAGAGATTCTCCTCACTCTAGGCTCTTCCTCTGCGCTAGCTGGCCAGAGTCCCTCTACTGTGCACATGAAAATAAAGGGTGACTTAGCGACATGTTACCGGCCCCTGTGGAGTTATTTCACGATGCTGTTTAACACCGACTCCCTTTAACTCAGGTTTCAAACCCTTCGGTGGCTTATTGCTGAGTTTTGTTTGAGAATGTGTGAAAGGGTTTGGGACCATCTCACTACATTCAAGGTGCTTTATAAATACATGGCGTTCGTGTTGTTGCTGATAGCTGTTCTTTCTGCTTTTCCTGGCTCAGGTGGTGCTGTGGGACATCTCCAAATTTGCGAGCAGATTGCAGGGCAACATTCCAGCAGCAAAGCCTGAAGCTGTCAAGTCCAATCTGTTGGTGAGTGACTTGGGAATGGGACGCATCCCATTCTCCTGGTATTGATCACTAGATAAGTCCACCTCCCCTCCCCACTGCTCCACTCTGGTGTCTCCCTCTAGCCCACCACACATCCACTGGATCTTTAGATTATTCTCCCATGTCCTTTACGGATAGGAGTCTTTCACCCATACCTGGTCTGGCCCTATATGTGACTCCAGATCCGCAGCAATGTGACTGTCTCTTAACAGCCCTCGGGGCAATTAGAACAATAAATGCTGGCCTGGCCACCGGTGCCATCATCCTGGGAATGAATGAAAAAAGTCTCCAAACAGAAGAAATATATCAAAGAACAAACTTGCAAGGAAGTTACAGTGAGGCACAAGAACTACAGAGAAGTTATAATGGGTATAATCTTAATCCTAGTATAGACTGGGTTAGTAATAGTGTAAATGGTAGAGTTTGTGAAGTGTGTTGCGGAGAATATTTTTACAGCAGTGTGTTGAGAAACGCTGGAATGATGGCACTCATACCTGGGTCTCTGGATGAAGAGTCTAGTGATAGTACCTCAAGGCCATCACCTCCATCAAACTGCCTCATCTTCAGGAGACCAGTTATCTGCTTCACCATGTTCCTGGTTGAACAACAGGTTGCAATGTGTCCACAGTAGGCGTTAATCCGGGGTTTCTGTAATGGAAGCATCAGTCGTGTTTGTTGAGGGTT